TGATGTACTTCGTTCGGTTACGTATTGCTAAGTCTATAGAACGCTGTCTATCTAGCTATCTAGCTATCTATCTGTATTTGGACAGGAAACTGGAAAACCATTAGTGTGTGTGTGTGTGCATAGTTTGTTTACATGGCGCGTATGTGGCTTAATGTGCGGCTGTACTGAATGATGGAGGGAAGAGGGAGGGAGGAAGCTGAGGTGCGTAGAAGAGAGAAAGTGAGAGGGAAGGAGGGAGAAGGGGAGGCTGACATACGTAAATAGAAAGAGAGAGAGAGAGTGAGGGAAGGAGGAGAGGGGCTAGATGCGTAGATTAGAAAAGAGAGAGAGAGGTTATCGAGAATGGAGAGAGAGAGAAAGAGAAGGAAGGGAGGAAGAGGTTACGTACGTGCGCGCGTGTGTATATGTGAGTAGGGGGGAGGGGCTAGGAGTAGCGTAGAAGACTCTGGCACAGGCTGGGTTAAGTCTGCCTCGCCTCGTCTCGACCTGGCTGGGGACCCTGTCAGTGCAATGACCGTCAACGAGGAAGGACATTCTTCTATCTCCTCCTGCTGGTGTGTCTGCCCCCCTCTGTACTATACTACCAGGTCTTCCTCCTTCTGCTGCCACTACCGCAAGCATACGTGTCTCGAAGCTCTTGACTTAATCTAGACTACATTTAAAAATTCCATAGTATTTTATTGACGTGAAGGAATTTGAAAAAAGATATGAGAATTTTGTCGTGAAAATTATGGATATTTTGAAAATCTTTTGGCCAAGTGATGTGATTTAATTGTTATTGATTCAGATTGTTATGTTATTTTAATGTAGGTGTGATTGTATTGTGGTGTTATTTAAGTGTTGGGGTAGTGGTGAGGGTGTGTTGGGGGGTAGTAATGATAGGTTGTTGGTGGGGAGTGTGGTGAACAGGTGGAGGGTAGTGTTGGAGTGATGGTGGTGGGGGTTTTGTAGTGGTGGAGGGTAGTATTGGAGCGGTGGTGGAGGGTAGTGTTGGAGTGATGGTGGTGGAGGGTAGTGTTGGAGTGATGGTGATGGGGTTTGTAGTGGTTGCGGGTAGTGTTGGAGTGATGGTTAGGTTAGGTCGTAGTGGGGGGGTCTAAACTTCATATGTTCCCTTACACTAACAACACAAATAACTTACCTCAAGTACCTAATGCCAATTGGTTCAAACACTTAAGACATTGAGATAGCATACAGTATTTGGTATCAGGGTATCAGGTAGTGCCAAATATACCCTCAACATACCCAATAGTGCCACAGAGACACCTTGATGCCTCGTATGGTAAACAGTGGCCTCAGGTGCACGGATTAATTAGTGGCCTTCAAGTACTGTCGCTGTGGGAGTAAAGACTAGAATATACCTGACTAATTATTATTTTCACCTGTGTGTGTGTGTGTGTGTGTGTGTGTGTGGAAGTCTTGAGGAGTTCATTTATATACAAGATACGTCCAGGTGTTTCTTCGACCTTGTGAACAGGTGTGTTACAGGTGTGTGTGTATGTGTTGTAGATACCATGGGAATGTTGGTGGTAGTAGTGGTGGTCTATCGTTAGTATCTCCCACTTACCTGTATTTAGACCTTAATGACTAAAACGGCAGGTACATTGCAAGCACAGATGGGGGGTAGTTGGGTGAAGAAGGGAAGAGGTAGGTGAGGAAGGAGGGTAAGGGAGAGAGGGGAGGTGAGTGGGGGGCAGGGGACACAGGTAGGTGCGTGTCTTCAGGTAATTAAAATGAAGGTCAGAAATGATTGGTCTTAACCCACGTCAATTGGTGGGTGGAGGAGGGGGTGTGTGTGTGTGCGTGTGTGTGTGCGTGTGGGAGGAGAGAGAGAGCCATCACAGCCTCAAATCATTCTCACAACACCTCACATCAAAATACCCGATTCGCCTCTAGTTACCAAGGTCAATGCCGTGACCCCAGGTACAGCCCTGTATCTGAGGTTAATACAGTACAGAACTACTTTGTATTTATGTATTGGCAGGTAGTAAATAGACTGATATATCTTATTTGTAGTATATGTGTTTATTTACCTGTGCTAATTAGTTGTGGATGGGTGTCTAATCATCAGGTGAAATAACTAGGGTGATATGAACAGGTAATAACAAGGAAGTGATTATACAGGGAGTGGGGCTAGTTAAAAGTGACGTGTGTGTGTGTGTGTCGTGACGTGGACATAAATGGTGTCTAACTATAGTAACCAGGTAAGCACAGGTGAGCACAGGTGAGCACTAAACCTTCCTAATGCCGCCTCTGCTGAGTTAACTAAATGCTTGTAAATACTTAATCTCGTTTAGAAAGACGTAGTTACCGCCTTTCAGAAAGTGGGGAAGTGAGGCAAAGGTGAGGACAAGTGAAAAGGTGAGGCAAGGTGAAGATCGCTAAACAGTATTTTTTCAGGGTGAGGTTTTAGTTAAGTTTGGTTAGGTTAGGTTTCATACATAATATATGAGTCAGCTGATTCGTTTCTTGAATATTTCTTACTTTAATCGAACACAAATACACAGTGCCGTTATATGGGGGGAGGGGTCACATCTAACGGACCCTCGATATACCGTGCGTGTGTTATATAAAGGAGAAGTCTCATGTGTGGGGGCGGGGGGTTCTGTGTTTTTTCTAAGTCTTGGTTGAGTATGGAAAGAAACCTTACCTCATACCCTCCACCCCTCTTCCCTCCCCCCATGTCCAATCTCGTAGGGTTTTGTTAACGTAGATGAGAGAGTGGGGGTGAGAGAAGGTTATGTTGACGTCATACACCTTTATATAAACCACAACACATGCACACCTTCCTTATGGACGTGTATTTGTAACCAAGACTCTTATACTCTTGTTTCAGCATTAAGAGGAAAAATAAGCAAAGATTGTCATGGTATCTGAATCAAGTTCCTGGCCAGACGTAACTGCACCCGAAAGAGCGTTAATGTATATTCTTTTATATATATATATTCCATGAAAACTAACAATCAGTGATTTTTTTTGGGGGAAATTGGAGAAAAAAATATTTATTATTATTGTACTTTGAGATCTGTTGTGAAGATACGATTGTAGAAAAAGGTCGAGTTTGTGTTTGTGTGTTTTGGTCGTTCTTGTAAATAGTTATGCCTCTCAAAAAGTATATACGCGCCCCGGTGGAGGAGGTACCAAGTATCAAGGAGAAGCTCGCTTTCTTCGAGCAACAGGGCCGAGGTAACACTCCAAAACCTCCCCTCCAAATTCCACCTGACCTCCAATCTCCATCTCACCCTTAGAGTGATTTTGATGTCGTATTTCACATCCTAGGCTCCGACCACATCCCTCCATCCCAACCTTTTCCATACTACCCCTCCACCCGTCACCTCTACCCCTTGGATGTAAGATTTCCATAGGGCAATTTATCCCACGTTACCCTTCCACTACCCCCCCTCCACACACTACCCCCTCTCCCCCTCCCTCTCTCCCCTCCACCTACCCCCTCCACCCCTACCCCTCCCACCTACCCCTCTCCCTCTCCCCTCCACCCCTACCCCCCCCCTCCACACACACTACCTCCCCCTCCCCAGCTCCCATCTCCCCCTCCCCTCATTCCACTGACCCCCGCTCTTAAATCAATTCACTGTTGATCTGGACTTACAATACAGCAAGAAACAAAAAAACAACAAAAACAACAAACAAATAAATAATGAATCACTTCCTTTTCCCTAGATTTGCAAGAATTATTTTTAAGTTTTGCTCTGTCGTAAATTTTCCATCAAAGTGAACTAATTTCTGAGGTCACCTGGATTAAACACACAGCTTATTTCACCTGGAGATTAAACACACCCCCAGCTTATTTCACCTGGAGATTAAACACCCCCAGCTTATTTCACCTGGAGTAAAACACCCCAGCTTATTCCACCTGGAATTAAACACCCCAGCTTATTTCACCTGGAGATTAAACACACCCCCAGCTTATTTCACCTGGAGATTAAACCACCCCAGCTTATTTCACCTGGAGATTAATCATCCTAACCTAATCCCACAAATAAGCTAGGGTGCTTAATCTTCAGGTGGTGCTATTTTATTTGGTGTTGTACAGTGATTTAAAGCTTTTGTTATGAGTAGTAGTTTGTCTGTTTAGATGTCTATGTGTTTTCAGTGTCTTAATTAATTATGTAACGTAATTAGTACCTGTAATTAGATGTGTAGAAATTCCTCTCAATAGCGGACTTCACAATTGTGTGTGTGTGATATTTAATTTTACCTGTTACGAGATAAATTTAATTACCTGAAGTTGTACCTTAATTATTTACGAGATAAAAATTAGGTAGAATTTTATCGTGAAACTTAAAATTAAAACAAATATAAATTGGTAACTGAAGAATGGGGAATTGCTATTTAATTCAGGGTTATGATGAATTAGGTACAAGCGTTTTAAAGACGATTAATTGGGGAAATACGATAACTGTATCCAGACGATATTCTTGATTATATGAGGCATTGAAATTGGGATAATAAAATTGGCATATTATAAATTGGTGTGAACGAAACATTGAAATTGGGATAAAATAATTGGTTTTTACGAAACTTGGAAATCGGGATAATAAAATTGGCATATTATAATTGAAGTGTACGAAACATTGAAATTAACATATTAACATTGATGCGTACAAAACATTAAAATTGGCATAATAAAATTGGTGTGTAAGGAACGTTTGTGGTTTTAGACAATAATTAAACCATATGCATTTTCAGTTAGCATGTTAGTAAGCATTATAGGTCTTATTACACATTAGTATAGTGCTTATTGTGAAGACTTACATAGTGCTTAGTTAAGAGTCTTATAATAATACTCAATAACTTACATAGTGCATTAGAGTCTTATAATTAAAATCTTATAATAGTGAAGATGTTGATTATCTGTTTGTGTGTCCACAGAGGTTGTTTATGGAGCGATGATCCCAGATCCTGACTACAGTGACGAAGAAAGAGACACAAACAAGCCAACAGCCACTACCATGGTTGAGAGGAATAATCAAGTCAACTCGTTAGTGTCTTACTTATTTACTTAATTACTTACTTTCTTATTTACTTATTTACTTACTCTAATATATAGAATTTTCGCATATAAACCTGGATATAACGAACTACACTGTCTCATATAGTCCGCTAAATAGAATGTAGTCAATAACGGTAAAGACCTTTATCCCTACAGTAACGACGAGAATCAGGAGCAACAGAAACTACAGCCAGAGCCAGGACAGGGGGGCAGGATGGACGGGCGAGGTCTGATTATGCCCAAGCCGTTAACCCCTGTCTAGAGTCCTCCAAAAAGAACCTCCACAGAGAACTGATGTTTAACCAGAAAAGGTGAGTAACTATCTACCTGACATCTTCACTACTGGTGTTGTGTTTGGTTAATGTTAGTCTTATATTAGACCCCAGGTGACCCTGTACCTCCTGGTGACCCTGTACACCACAGGTGACCCTGTACACTCACAGGTGACCCTACACTCACGGGTGACCCTACACTCACAGGCTGTACACCACGTGACCCCACACCACGGTGACCCTGACACACAGGGATCCTGCACACTCACGGTGACCCTGTACACTCACGGTGACCCTGTACACCTCACAGGTGACCCTGTACACTCACAGGTGACCCTGTACACTCACAGGTGACCCTGCACACCACGGGTGACCCTGCACACCAGGCCTGTACACTCACAGGTGACCTGTACACTCACAGGTGACCCTGCACACCACAGGTGACCCCAGACACTCACGGGTGACCTGTACACTCACGGGTGACCCTGTACACTCACAGGTGACCCTGTACACTCACGGGTGACCCTACACCAGTGACCCCACACTTACAGGTGACCCTGTACACTCACGGGTGACCCTGCACACTCACAGTGACCTGTACACTACAGGTGACCCCACACCACGGGTGACCCTGTACACTCACGGGTGACCCTGTACACTACAGGTGACCCTGTACACTCACAGGTGACCCTGTACACTCACGGGTGACCCTCACCCACGGGTGACCCTGTACACTCACAGGTGACCCCACACTCACAGGTGACCTGTACACCACGGTGACCCTGTACACTCACAGGTGACCCCACACTCACAGGTGACCCTGCACACTACAGGTGACCCCACACCACAGGTGACCCTGTACACCACAGGTGACCCTGTACACTCACAGGTGACCCTGCACACTCACGGTGACCCCACTCACGGGTGACCCTGTACACTCCACAGGTGACCCTGTACACTCACGGGTGACCCTGTACACTCACAGGTGACCCTGCACACTCACAGGTGACCCTGCACACTTACAGGTGACCCTGTACACACAGACCCTGTACACTGGGACCCTGTACACCCAGGTGACCCTGTACACCACAGGTGACCCTGTACACTCACAGGTGACCCTGTACACCACGGGTGACCCTGTACACTCACGGTGACCCCACACCACGGGTGACCCTGTACACTCCACAGGTGACCCTGTACACTCACAGGTGACCGCACCACAGGTGACCCTACACACGGTGACCCTGTACCTCACGGTGACCCAACCCACAGGTGACCCTGTACACTCCACAGGTGACCCTGTACACTCACAGGTGACCCTACATCACGGGTGACCCTGTACACTCACGGGTGACCCTGTACACTCACGGGTGACCCTGCACACTCACAGGTGACCTGTACACCACGGTGACCCCACACACGGTGACCCTGTACACCACGGGTGACCCTGTACACTCACGTGACCCTGCACACTCACAGGTGACCCTGTACACTCACAGGTGACCCACACTCACGGGTGACCCTGTACACTCACAGGTGACCCTGCACACTCACGGGTGACCCTGTACACTCACAGGTGACCCTGTACACTCACAGGTGACCCTGTACACTCACAGGTGACCCTGTACACCACGGGTGACCCCACACTCACAGGTGACCCACACCACGGAGACCCTGCACACTCACAGGTGACCCTGTACACCAGGTGACCCTGCACACTCACGGGTGACCCCACACCACGGGTGACCCTGTACACTCACAGGTGACCCACACCACGTGACCCTGTACACTCACAGGTGACCCCACACTCACAGGTGACCCTGTACACTCACTGACACAGGTGACCCTACCCCACGGTGACCCTGTACACTCACGGGTGACCCTGTACACTCACAGGTGACCCTGCACACCACAGGTGACCCTGTACACTCACGGGTGACCCCTGCACACTTACAGGTGACCCTGCACACCACGGGTGACCCTGTACACCTCACAGGTGACCCTGCACACCACAGGTGACCCTGTACACTCACGGGTGACCGACACCACGGTGACCCCACACTACAGGTGACCCTGACACTCACGGGTGACCTGTACACCACAGTGACCCCACCACAACCCTGTACCTCACGGGTGACCCTGCACACCACGGGTGACCCACACCACGGGTGACCCTGTACACCACAGGTGACCGTACACTCACAGGTGACCCTCACACCACGGTGACCCTGCACACCACGGGTGACCCTGCACACTTACAGGTGACCTGTACACCACAGGTGACCCACTCACAGGTGACCCTGTACACTCACAGGTGACCCTGTACACTCACAGGACCTGCACACACACAGTGACCCTGTACACTCACGGGTGACCCTGTACACCACGGGTGACCCTGTACACTTACAGGTGACCTGCACACTACAGGTGACCCCACACCACAGGTGACCTGTACACTCACGGGTGACCCTGTACACCACGGTGGACCCTGTACACTCACAGGTGACCCCACACCACGGGTGACCCTGCACACTCACGGTGACCCTGCACACTCACAGGTGACCCTGTACACTCACGGGTGACCCTACACTACGGTGACCCTGTACACTCAGCAGTGACCCTGTACACTCACACAGGTGACCCTGTACACTCACAGGTGACCCTGTACACTCACAGGTGACCTACACTCACAGGTGACCCTGCACACCACGGGTGACCTGTACACTCCGGGTGACCCTGTACCTCACAGGTGACCCTGTACACCTACAGGGTACCCCACACTCACAGGTGACCCTGCACACCACAGGTACCCTACACTCCAGGGACCCTGACACTCACAGGTGACCCTGTACACTCACGGGTGACCCGTACACCACGGTGACCCTGCACACTCACAGGTGACCTGTACACTCACAGGTGACCCTGTACACCACAGGTGACCCCACACTCACGGGTGACCCCACACTCACAGGTGACCCTGTACACTCACAGGTGACCCTGTACACCACAGGTGACCCTGTACACTCACAGGTGACCCCACACGACCCTGACACTCACAGGTGACCCTGCACGGTGACCGCACCACAGGACCCTGACACCACAGTGACCCTGTACACTTACAGGTGACCCTGCACACTCACAGGTGACCCTGTACACTCACAGGTGACCCTGCACACCACAGGTAACCCTGCACACTCACAGGTGACCCTGCACACTCACAGGTAACCCTGCACACTCACGGTGACCCTGTACACCGTACCCCACTACAGGTGACCCTGTACACCACAGGTGACCCTGACACCACAGGACCCTGTACACCACAGGTGACCCTGACACTCACGGGTGACCCCACACCAGGTGACCCCACACACAAACAACCACCCCGGTAACCTGTACACTCACAGGTGATCCTACACTCACAGGTGACCCTGTACACCACAGGTGACCCTGTACACCACGGGTGACCCTGTACACTCACGCGGTGACCTTACACTTACAGGTGACCCTGTACACTTACAGGTGACCCTGTACACTCACGGATGACCCTGTACACCTCACGGGTGACCCTGTACACTTACGGTGACCTGCACCTACGGGTGACCCTGTACACTACGCACACAGGTGACCTCGGTGACCTGACACCCACAGGTGACCCTACACTCACAGGTGACCCTGTACACCCCACGGGTGACCCTGTACACTCACGGGTGACCCGTACACTTACAGGTGACCCTGTACACTTACAGGTGACCTACACACAGGCCCACACCACGGTGACCCCCAGGTGACCCTACACTCACAGGTGACCCTGTACACTCACAGGTGACCCCACACTCACGGGTGACCTGTACACTCACAGGTGACCCTGTACACCACAGGTGACCTGTACACTCACAGGTGACCCTACACTCACAGGTGACCCTGTACACCACAGGTGACCCTGTACACTCACGGGTGACCCTGTACACCTCGGTGACCATGTACACTTACAGGTGACCCCTGTACACTCACAGGTGACCCTGTACACTCACAGGTGACCCTGTACACTCACGGGTGACCTGTACACTCACAGGTGACCCTGTACACTCACAGTGACCCTGTACACCACAGGTGACCCTGTACACTCACAGGTGACCTGTACACCCACGGGTGACCCTGTACACTCACGGGTGACCCTGTACACTTACAGGCAGACCCTACACCCACAGGTGACCCTGTACACTCACAGGTGACCCACTCACAGGTGACCTGTACACCACAGGTGACCCTGTACACTTACAGGTGACCCTGTACACTCATAGTGACCCTGTACACTCACAGGTGACCCTGTACACCACAGGTGACCCACACCCACAGGTGACCCTGTACACTCAGACTCCTGACACACAGGTGACCGTACACTCACGGATGACCCTGCACACTCACGGGTGACCCTACACTCACGGGTGACCCTGTACACTCACAGGTGACCCTGTACACTCACAGGTGACCCTGTACACCACAGGTGACCCTGTACACTCACAGGTGACCCTGTACACCACAGGTGACCCCACACTCACAGGTGACCCCACACTCACGGGACCCTGTACACTCACGGTGACCCTGTACACTTACAGTGACCCTGTACACTACAGGTGACCTACCACAGGTGACCTGTACACCACGGTGACCCACACCCCACCACACCACCACCCACCACACACAGTGACCCACACCACAGGTGACCCTGTACACTCACAGCCGACCCTGACACCAGGTGACCCTGACACTCACGGGTGACCCTGTACACTCACGGGTGACCATGCACACTCACAGGGTGACCCTGCACACTCACAGGTGACCCTGCACACTAGGTGACCCTACACAACCTAACCAGGTGACCCTGTACACCACAGGTGACCTGCACTCATAGGTGACCCTGTACACTCACAGGTGACCCTGTACACCACGGGTGACCCTGCACACCCGGGTGAATATGTCACACTTAAGGACCCCACACTTACAGGTGACCCTGTACACTCACAGGTGACCCTGTACACTCACAGGTGACCCACACTACAGTGACCTGTACACCAGGTGACCCTGTACACTCACAGGTGACCCTGGCCACCACAGACCCTGCACACTCCAGGTGACCCTGTACACTCTAGGTGACCCTGCACACCACAGGTGACCCTGTACACTCACAGGTGACCCTGCACACTCACAGGTGACCCCTGTACACCACGGGTGACCCTGTACACTCACAGGTGACCCCTGTACACTCACAGGTGACCCTGTACACTCTACAGGTGACCCTGTACACTCACAGGTGACCTGACACCACAGGTGACCCTGTACACCCACAGGTGACCCTGTACACCTCACAGGTGACCCTGTACACTCACAGGTGACCCTGTACACCACAGTGACCCTGTACCACAGGTGACCCAGTACACCCACAGGTGACCTGACACCTCAGGGACCCTGCACCACAGGTGACCCTTGTACACCACAGGTGACCCTGACACCTACCCACCGGTACCCCACACTCACAGGTGACCCTGTACACTACCCTGTACACTCCGGGTGACCTGTACACTCACAGGTGACCCTGTACACTCACAGGAACCCTACACACCCACCACACCACAGGTGACCCTGTACACCACAGGTGACCCTGTACACCTGAGGTGACCCCCACCACAGGTGACCCACCAACCACGACCTGACACTAGTGACCCTGTACACTCAAGTGACCCTGTACACTCACAGACCTGTACACTCACAGGTGACCCTGTGCACCCACAGGTGACCCTACACTCACGGTGACCCAGTACACCACAGGTGACCCCACACCACAGGTGACCCTGCACACCACAGGTGACCCCACACTCACGGGTGACCCTGTACACTCACGGGTGACCCTGTACACTCACAGGTGACCGTACACTCACGGGTGACCCTGTACACTCAGGTGACCTTGCACACTCACAGGTGACCTGACCCAGGTGACCCTGTACACTCACAGTGACCCTGTACACTCACAGGTGACCCTGTACACTCACAGGTGACCCTGTACACTACGGTGACCCTGCACACTCACAGGTGACCCTGTACACCACAGGTGACCCTGTACACTCACGGGTGACCCTGTACACTCACGGGTGACCCTGTACACTTACAGGTGACCCCTACACTCACAGGTGACCCTGTACACCACAGGTGACCCTGTACACCACAGGTGACCCTGTACACCACGGGTGACAGGTGACCTGTACACTCCCACAAGACCCTGCACACTCACAGGTGACCCTGTACACTCACAGGTGACCTGTACACCACAGGTGACCCCACCCACGGTGACCCACCACAGGTGACCCTGTACACTCACAGGTGACCTGCACCACATGACAGTGACCCTGTACACCACAAGTGACCCTGTACACTCACAGGTGACCCTGTACACTCACAGGTGACCCTGCACACTCACAGGTGACCCTGTACACTCACAGGTGACCCTGTACACTCCACAGGTGACCCTGTACACCACAGGTGACCCTGTACACTCACAGGACCCTGTACACTCACGGGTGACCCTGTACACTCACAGGTGACCCTGTACACACAGGTGACCCTGCCTGCACTCCGGGTGACCCTGTACACTCTACAGGTGACCCTGTACACTCACAGGTGACCCTGTACACTCACAGGTGACCCCTGTACACCTCACAGGTGACCCTGTACACTCACGGGTGACCCTGTACACTTGAGTGACCCTGTACACTACAGGTGACCTGTACACTCCAAGGTGACCTGTACACCCCCGTGACCCTGTACACTCACAGGTGACCCTGTCCACTCACAGGTGACCGTACACTCACAGGTGACCCTGTACACACCACAGGTGACCCCACCACAGGTGACCCTGTACACTCACGGGTGACCCTGTACACTCACGGGTGACCATGTACACTTACAGGTGACCCTGTACACTCATAGGTGACCCTGTACACTCACAGGTGACCCTGTACACTCACAGGTAACCCTGTACACTCACAGGTGACCCTGTACACTCACAGGTAACCCTGTACACTCACAGGTGACCCTGTACTCTCTCTCTCTCTCTCTCTCACACACTAACCTAACCACCTTTCACACTCTCCCCAGGGGTGTCAACTTGCTCAACCAGAAGAGTGAGCTGCAGAAGGCCATGGAGAAGCACAACGACAAGAAGGTCCTCAAGGAACAGGAGAAAGAGAAGCAGGCCTCTTTGACACCCTTCCAGAAAGCCTTAGACGAACGAGCACACAAGATTGAACAGGTGTGTGAGTTACCATGATTAATTAAGCAGGTGTGTGAGTTACCATGATTAATGAAACAGGTGTGTGAGTTACCATGATTAATTAAACAGGTGTGTGAATTAGAATGATTACTAATTACCTGTACAAATAACTTAAAAAAAATGCTTGTAGAATCATTAACCACCTAAAATTGTTGTCATAATTAAGTGTGTAAGTCTGCCATCAACCCCCACAGATGGAAAAAGCTGAGAACAAGGACGAGATAAATGACAAGACTCCACCATCCTGTGAATTTGAGAAGATCCACGCCAAATTACGAGCCAAGATGGAGGTTCAGTGAAATACCCCCCCCCCTGCTCCCCTCCTCTAATTCCCCTCCCCCCCCCCGTGTTACGAGTTACTATTGTGAAGAACTTAAGGAGATTTTTACTATTATTATTACTATTATACAGATAAATTTTTAATATAGTGGGAAAGAGTACTAGTTTGTGGTGTATTTTGAGTTTGTGGCCTTCAAGTGTTTGGTTGAATTCTTTTTATTATTGGGTACACGAACCAGAGAGCTTTCACATTAGGAACTTTATATACATGTTATATATCACATACTTTTCACTCATAGAATAATATACATGCATTCATAACTATTTTCATACATACCTACATACATACATACATACATATATACATAAATTTACACATGCAGTTATATATTACCTACGTATATATACTTATGACCTCCATCCATACGTACTGTTCATACATATATACATATACAGTATAGATATATACATAGATATTTACTCGTCCCATGTATAGAAGTCACCATAAATCATCAATCCTTCTCATAACCACAAGACATTAATATTTTTACCGCCTTGTGTCTCAGATTAAATACGTTTTTTCCTTCTTCCTCTCCTAATATATATATATATAACTTAACAAGAAGATCGAGCCAAGATTGTCAGGGTGCCGACAGTTGTGTGTGTGTATATAATTTGTGATGGTATATTGCTGAGCTGCACCAGTAAATCACTCCCTCCCTCCTCCCACCTTCCCACTTCCCACCCTACACCCCTCCCCCCCACCCCCACCCCCAACATGATCAGCACAATACAGCAGTTTTAATTTTCTTATCAATTTATGTATTCAGTAAAGATATCAGAGATAAGATGGTAGGATTTTTTTCTGCACAGTGAGGTGGTGATATATGTAGTATGGTCACCCCTCCCCCCCACACAGTGAGGTGGTGACGTGGTACAGTCACCCCCCACAGTGAGGTGACATGCAGTAGTCACCCCCCACAAGACAATAAGTAGTCTATTGCTCAAGTCGCCAATAACATCCGCTACTTGGGTGCTAATCAGATGCCTTCACCATTTATACATTAGGTGTTACTTCTGCTTGTGTTGATGTATGGGGATAACAATTATTCATTACTGATCATATCAATCATCACTGATTTTCTATTCAGTCGTTATCAAAAAATGTAAAATTTGCTCTACAACTAAACCAGTTTCCCTTGGGATTATTTCTTGCATTGCAATTAATACGCAGTTAATTATAAGGTATGATAATGTACAAGTGTAGAAATAAATAAGTATACTTTGTTGTTTTCTTAACTCTCCTAATTTATTACACTAAAGTTGTGCTTATTAATTTACTTGACTTTTACTATTACGTGATATGAGTTCCTGATGTAATAGACTCATTGGGAGGTATTCGTTTAACAATGTTCTGCCCCTCCCGCCCTTTTTCCTCCCCACTGCTCCCCCTGGTTCGAGGAAGGCAGAGGAGCGGTTGTTTGTGTTAGAACATTATTTATTTTAATACAGATTCTATGGGAAAATGGATCTTGTTGAACGAGAATCTACCTACCTGTTTATCTATCTATCTATCTGTTTGTCTTGGCTATCTACCCATCAATAATTAGCACCAACGGCCTAATGAACAGTAATTCATCTATATTTTTCAAGGTAAGTTATATAAATGATTAATATGTGAAGTATTGTATTATTCTTATGTAAAAATAGATTTTTTGATACTGAAACTGAAGTAATTCGTGATATTATTGGCAGACGTGTATGGTAGAGTTGGCAGACGTGTTTGACAGCCCTGGTGGGAGGGAGACGGTATATAAGGTGATGGGGGAGGAAGAGGACGTGATGAAGGAGGAGGAGGAGGACGTGATGAAGGAGGATGAGGACGTGATGGAGGAGGAAGAGGGAGGAGGAGATTAGACACCCCAGTTTAATTCACCTGTAGATTAGACACCCCAGTTTTATGTTTATTTGAGATCTAATACATGTATATTTTCAGCAATTGCTTTGATGAGTTGAGGACTCTATGGTGATATGGACATCTGTAAAAGAACGCAATCTTTGAAAATTGATTGTTGAAAGTACATGTAAGGACCCCCATTTGTGAGTACAACAGAGTACATTGTGAAGTGATAACAGTGTTAAAATCATTGCAATTGAAAAGAAAGAATACTTGTTGAGCATCGAGGGGACAGTCTCGTAAAGTATTACAGTATTACTACTTTATTTTTTTGTGAGCGTGACTCTCGGTAAAAATAACTAAAATTCACCTAACCTAACCTAACCTAACCTAACCCAACCTAGTCACAGGAAAAAAAGTCACAATTTTGGCTAGGAAAAAAAGTCAATAAATTTATGGTGGCCGGTAATAAAGGCTAGGTTAGGTTGACATATTAACCTTAAAAAATGTGAGAATTCGATAGTTAACTTTTCTTTTTTTCCTGTGACTTTTTTTCTGTGACTTTTTTACCTGTGACTTTTTTTCTGTGACTTTTTTACCTGTGACTTTTTTACCTGGATTCAACTATCTACCCATGCCTATCACCGCCTTATAAGGCCTGACACAGCTGTGACCGCTCTCTTTCCACCCAGTGCCACCAGCAAGCAACACCACCTCCTCTGCGCCAGCCTGGCGGCTCCCGCTCCCGCCGGCGACCTCGGCGTCCCTCAAGCTGCGTGCCCTCCTCTGGGGACCCTCACCACCCAGCTCTCTCTACTCAACGCTTGTTACCATGCTGCCTACCCAGCAACAAGCTGCATTGTACATCCAATACAAGATGTATACAGTGAGCACATTGTGAGTTTCCTTTCTCCACCCCATCCTGAGTGTGAACCAATATCTCATAACCCCACACACACACACACACATACATACATACATACATACATACATACATACTGACACATACACATACAATATCACACAGTAAGTTCTATATGATCGATGATATATAACAACGTGCTTCTAGGAATACGAGGGGATCCCTACACATGAACCATGCGGCGGTCGACAAAATTAAGAAGAAAACCCAGAAATTCAAGACGTGGGATGGGTCAAACGATGAGCAGGACAGGAGGATGTATGCAAGAGCCAGAAACCAAGCAAAGATAGAGTGTAGGAGGGCTGAAAAGGAGTTCCAGAGGCTGGTTGCACGCGAGGTCAAGTCAAACCCAAAGGCGTTTTACCGCTATGCAAAGTCGAAATTGAAAACGCGAGTAGGAGTATCAGACCTGAGGCTTGAAGATGGTAGTTACGCAGATTCTGACCAGGATAAAGCTGAGGCATTGAACAGCTTCTTTTCCTCAGTGTTCACAAGAGAGGATGCAACTAACCTTCCTGCGTTTGAGGACAGACAGTTCGACACAGCACTGACCCACATTGTGTTCACAGAAGAGGGTATTAGAAATAAACTGTCCAGGCTAAAGGTCCATAAGAGTCCCGGACCTGACATGGTGCATCCTAGAGTGCTAAGAGAGCTGTGCAACGAGCTTGCAGAGCCCCTGAAGATCCTGTTTTGTAAATGCCTGGATGAACAAATGGTCCCCAGTGAATGGAAAGTGGCTTATGTGAGTCCTATCTTCAAGAAGGGCGATAGTCATATGGGGGCTTGAGCTGCCACCATTTATGAGGGCCTGAGCTGCCAGTAACAATTCCTTTTACTCTTATATATCACCATTGGTAGCGTGACGATAGGAGGCTCGTGGGTAGGTGTAATGATAGTATCAAGCAATAGGGAAGAAATAACGGTAAATACTGTAGGTAAATAATATACACAATTATACAAATACAAGTTTATTTAAACATGAATATGAAATTAGGAGAAAGAATCGGTTTGTACCAACAGACGACATCTAGGACTAGGCCCTCAGGCTCAACATACTCACACCATTACTGGGTGGACATATTCAATACACTTCCAACCCTACTGGGTGGACATACTCAATAGCACAACTAGGATAGTCACTTAGCACCATACATACTAGGGCAACTGCCACTACAACCCTCAGTCGTCAGGAGTGTTACTCAAGCAACAGCCATGGGGTCCAGCCACCATGGAGTACTATCTGACGAACTCTGGAGATCCCAGTGGGTTAATTCCACCACACCAATATAGCCCTACTGAGTTAGACACTCATCCACCAATGATGGGGGCTGGTAGTGGTGTGTGGCTTGGTGGTCCGGGGTCCCCTCGTGGACCGAGCGTTAGGGCCAGACGAGCCAGCTATGGGGGCTATAGGTGGTCTGAAGTGTCTGACGGCCGGGTCTCACGTAGGTAACTGATCCTACTGGACCTCGGACATCTCCCCAGACATAGTGGATACAACATCCACCCTACAGACACGGCCTAGGCTGCGTTAGGGACCTGTATGGATGAAGGGACGGGCACTTACTAACCGGTGACAACAACATCACGTTTCAGGGGACGTTAAAGACGTAAATATGACTTTACTCAGAGCATATCAACTACGTTACTGTAACACTTGCACAATCAACTATTAATTGAGTCAAATCACTTAAAGAAGGGCAAATTACAACACAGCGTGGAATGGCATACCTGTATGGATGAAGGGACGGGCACTTACTAACGGTTAAAATGCCCGCGTGCCCTCACTCAAACCAGACCAGGGAGTCCAGCTACTCCTATTCTGATGAATTAATTTACGGTACCCTCTGACGTTGAAATTGAGACTATGAACTCATTTTCATTCTCTACTATTATCTTCACTAACAATGCTCTGACTCAGCTATCGAAAGCAAAGTTAAATTGATTACAAAGGAATGGATGGCAACAGGTCCCAGCATACAGCGTCTGCTCCCATAGACAAAGGCGGGGGAAACAGAGAAAACGGGGGACGTTTCCACTGGGAGACTCAAAGGGTTTTGTGGACGTTTGAGCGTAATATGAATCCTTAAGGTTTTCAGGTTAGCTCTTATCATGACCATTACAGTCACTCCACGAACACCTATAGACCGGTGAGCCTGACCAGCATATTATGTAAAGTACTTGAGAGTATTATCAGAGATGCCGCGATGGAACATCTACTACGAAACAACCTTGTAAAAGATTGCCAACACGGTTTTATGCCGGGGCGCTCTTGCTTAACACAATTGCTCATGGTATTGGATATTTGGACCCATATTCTAGAACGGGGTGGTAATATCGACAATATTTACCTAGATTTTGCCAAGGCTTTCGACAGTGTACCCCACGAAAGGCTGAAAATCAAACTGGAAGGGTACGGAATTCGG